TCCAGGAGGTCAGACTACGTCCAGGTGTCCGGCCATGGCATTGTCGGCCAGCTCCAGCAGCTCTCGCCACCATACTTTTGACTGCTTCTCGAAGCTGTTGGTCGGGTTTAGATCTCCTCCGACACCCCAGATGTCCTTCAAGTGGCCGGACGGTGTACAGGACGTCGGGAGCAGCAAGTTGGTGCGGTGGTCAAGCTCCTCCTATGCAGCAATGGCGGCTCCCGGCAGAATTTCCGGCGCAACAGGTTTTAGGAGGTAATGGTAGGCTCTCCATTCTCCGAGCTCCGTTGAGATGGCGCAGAGCTGGCCAGACAAAAGGTGGTCGTGGGGCATTTCTTTCATGGTGGGAATACAGGACGTCGGGAGTGGCAAGTGGTGCGGTGGTCAAGCTCCTCCTGTGCAGCAATGGCGGCTCCCGGCAGAATTTCCGGCGCAACAGGTTTTAGGAGGTAATGGTAGGCTCCCCATTCTCCGATCTCCGTTGAGATGGCGCAGAGCCGGCCAGACAAAAGGTGGTCGTGGGGAATCTCTTTCATGGTGGGAATGCTGCTGCAATGTTTCTCTCGTGAGGAAGAAGAAGACCCTTCTCCATGCAACAATTTGTCTATAAAAATACCATGTTGCCCTTCACTTAAAGCACATGTGGGATGAACGTTTGGGCTGAGCACTTGGGGCCTTTATGCCTCGTAAGTGGGTTGTTCTGTTTCTGCTTGCGGGATGTGCATTAAGCTCATCGCAGTGCATGGTTCGCACTCCAATTAATACGAACCTATTACCTGTCAAAACTCAAATAAAACATCTCATCATAGATTAATAATTAATTTAATATATAAATAATTATATAGTAATTAATTAATAGCTAATTATATATAAAATTTCGACGAAATGGACACGAAAATCAACATAAAATACACGTAAAAATGACACATGTCAATCTTCATTGTTTCTCCAGAACAATTCTGGTGCATCATCTGAAACTTGAGCACCCACATTTGACTTTTGAGACATCTTAAGCTTTTTCATGTCTTCTATTGTCAAATTTCCTTATAACACAACATCCCTACTTCTGATCACCTTTGTCTCCTTTGCATCCCATAATCTATATCCAAACTCTTCATCTCCATAACCAATGAAAATTCATGGGATTGACCTCGCATCGAGCTTCTTTCTGGGCTCTTTGGATACATGTGCATATGGTACACTTAAATGTATACGTATAGAGTTTTATGGCGCTCAACTAGTGTTAGAACACGAATTATGAAAATTATGTTGTACCACCATAAAAGTTAAAAATAGCAGAAGCACAAAATATAAAAACTCTTCGAGGAGCGTCCCACTACCCTCAGAGCTCTTTCATTGATAACTCAATTGTGCACTCTCGTATAGTCTTGGAATTACAAACACTAGAACTCCGTTCTAGCCTAACCAACAGCTATACTTGAATCTACCAACTACTTCTTTGGCCACGTCCCGTGGACTTGAAACACTCTCGATCCCTCGAGAATAACTAAATTCTGATAACAAAAATGCTCAAAACAAAAGAAACAAAAAACAACTCAAAAACAGTTTCAGTGCTCGGAAGCAGTAAGAACATTCAGAGGGCAATCCCAAACGAACATTCAGCAAAGCAGGAGAAAAATCAATGACCTGATTTCTAGGACTACCAGGTAAAAAAACAGCAGGGGTCAGATTAACATAGATTCCCTAACAGCTTGACCACAAAACAACTGAAGATCAGAGACAGTTTGCCGAAAACCTTAGTTTGGGTCCCTCAAGGTCATGTAATACCTAAGAAATGAAAAATGGGGCTATTTATAATGCCCGTATGCTTCCGCGCACCTTCCACTGATAGAGTTGCTTGAGCTCTTGGAGCTAGTATGGGCATCTTCGTCTTGCTAGCGAGCCTTATTGATTATTGAAAAGGCTGAAGAAGTGACTTTTGGCCCCCTTGGATCAGGTATGGGCGTTAAGGCTCATAGCTATAAGGAAGAACTTTCCAATCAAGTCAAACACCTTTACCAAGCAAGAAGCGGTACTTTAAGCTTTCGATAGAGATGGTTTGTCTTACCGCGGCTGCTGGCACAGAGTTAGCCGATGCTTATTCCCCAGATACCGTCATTGCTTCTTCTCCGGGAAAAGAAGTTCACGACCCGTGGGCCTTCTACCTCCACGCGGCCCACAGGGTTCTATACAGACGATTCCCTCAGTTAACAAAGAGGTCAAATTTACAGATTCCTCAAAAAACAGAAAATCAAAGCTCGTATTTTTTCGGGGACCTTCGTCCCCTGGCGTGGAGTTATCCAACTCCAGTACTGATCGCCTATTGATGTGACGGATCCATCATACAATCCACAAAACGGATCTTATTGAGAAATCAATGTCTTACTCCATAACTTGTTTTGCTGTTTCGAATGCCATGGTTGCCTCAAGAATAGTTTGAACCGCCTTGGAGGTCTCCTAAAGAAAGGGAAGTCCCTCATGGAAAAGCTTTTGAGCTCATAACAAACTAGGTCGAAAACCCAAGTCTTTGATTCATTCATCTTTAGGGTACTTTATCCATCAACGGAATTCCTTGACCTGAGCCAACAAAAATGAAGGGTTCAAGCAGAACAGAACAAACAATGTCGAGCCAAGAGCAGCACTTGAGCTGGAGCTGTTAGGTCTCCTAGTCCTTAGGGGTCACTGATTTCTCAGACAGTAGCCGCCGTCTCGTAGCCTTCAGGGGAGGCTTGATATTTCACTGCCTAGAATTTAATTGAGGAATTTCCTGAAGGTGATCTCGACTACCATTATACGTTAACCCCACATTATCAATTGGTTCAAGAACACCTAAATCAGCAAACTTCCCACCCTTAACAGTATGCTCAGCCCAAAACCCATAAGAAGAGAAATTCTCAAATCACTCATGAGCAACTTGAGTATAGAACCTGTTAGAAAAGGCACTAGAGAGATCATACAAATCATCTTCAGGTTCCTGCTCAATAGGCACTTCCTCAACAAGCTCTTTGTGCCTATTTTTCAGTTGAATGAGAAGTCTTTGCCTCGATGAAGAACATATGATTTGGGTAGTGGTGTAGCCTGGACGAGTTAACCTCGATGGTCACGTCATTGTGAGTATCGTCCTGAAGTGGAGTAGCCGTAGTGTCGTCTTTTTCTCCTATTTTCGTAAGCGACTTCGTGACAGAGGTAGGAATAGCCGACGACTCCTCCTGAGTACCAACTTGGGGAGTTTCTTCAGTTAGATGCGGAAGAGTGACTGAAACATTCGTTGACATCGGAGAAAGATGAGGGGTTTTGGCCAATGTGTCAGTCTTTTCTGGTGAAGCCGACGCCGACGGCGTATGTAACACCCCACCTTACTAGACAAATCAGAGTAGCGCATTTATTCGCAAAGTTTTGAAAAACTAAAACATTTTTACTTTGCGAAACTGATTTGGGGTGCTACCGTGAAAAATCTTTACTTAACTTAGAAAAAAAAACCGTTGTTTTAACTTATTAAAAACGTCCGGTTATTTAAAACTTTATTTTCTGAAAGGTTTATCAAAATATGATAAAACCGTCAAAATCATCAAACATCGACAAAAGATAGTCAAAAGTATGCGGAAGCG